AAGCCAGTCACGGCTCACGCTGGCATCGGCTGGAAACTGTCACTTCCCTCACAACCTACTGGCTTCTGCCCCTGAGAATCACCCTCTGATCCTGTCGGTCCCTGTGGAGCCACGCAGGAGACGGTGTTCTCCAGGCTTCGTTCTCCCCAGTGAGAACCCCACCATCCACTCATCCCGGCTTCAAACGACAGGACGTCAAGTCCCGCTACCATCCCGGTCAGTCTTCTCTAAACGCACTGGTGCACTTACTAGGATAACTCACTTAAAAGTTCTGTAGCAGTGTGTTCTTGCTACACATGGGGAATGTTAACCATGCACTGCTCTTTTTCCAGGATTGTGTGAATTTTTTCCAATCATTCTATAAACCCAGAGGAAATTTTTGTTTGTGACTAACAGTGCTACCTTAAAGGATGGAGAAGGGGTGGAGAGAGCTTCTTAGGAGCTTAGAAATGTGAAAAATAAAGTCGCCCACGTAAATTAAACATCGTCAGCCATGGATGAAATCAGAGATGTTTAAAAAGGCAGACTATCACAGGTTTCATTTGCTATCATGTTAAAAATGGCAATTATACAACTACAGTGGAAGCAGGGGCTCCCTCCTCAGATTAACAGCAGAACACCAGAAACTGGCCAAAGGCTGCCCACATCAAGCAACCCTCAAAGAATGGACAGCCAAGAAAAGTCTAACCTTAACTATTCTCATACCTCTGGGAACCACAGGAAAACCACCCACAATGTTTATGGGGAAACTCCAAAGAGAAGAAATTTCTCCTCATTCAAGAAGAAAAGAGCTAAATAAACAAAAAAGCAAAACACACACACACACACATCAGGCCTATGAAGAGTCTACAAAGTTAGAGATCAAAAGTATTCAAGAGATAGTGCTCGCTTCGGCAGCACACATGCTGAAATTGGAACGATACACAGATTAGCATGGCCCCTGCACAAGGATGACATGCAAATTCGTGAAGCATTCCATATTAAAAAAGAAAAGTATTCAAGAGATGAAAGAGTATGTGGTCATTAAAAAGTATGACTGAA